GGGGCCGCGGGAGCCGCCCTGCCGCCCTCCGGTCTTGCTCGTCACCCCCTGCCCCAGCGCTGCTGGTCGCGGCCTCCCTCACGGTCGTGGTCCCCCTTCTTTATCCCGGGTCGTCCAGGTGCAGAGCCTCGCTTCCACTTCTTTGAGAGGGTCCCTGGGGAGCGGGTCCATCTCCCTCCCGAGGACTGATGGCAGAAGCTCAGCCGTAGGCCCCAGTTATGTAACGGGAGAGAGTCCCTGACTGGGAGGCTCCGTGGCGCTGAAAAGCGGCTCAACTCCACTTTTTGGTTCTCCGTCCCGGAGGGCGGGAGGCGGAGAGGGAGATGTCTGATGCTGGGAACCTGGAAAGCGCTGCCTTCCGTTCGGATTGCAGCTAAGACCGGGCCGCTACTGTTTTTCTCTCTTTTCCGAATGGGAGTACAGAACTGTCGCCTCTGTTGTGTACTTTCCCGTTTCTTACTCGGGATTGGCCCATCAGCTCTCCAGTTGTAAGCGAGCTCCGGGAACAAAGTAGAACGAAAGCGCTAGAGCAACAACAAAACAATCTCATCTGGGTATTAACCTGAAAACGAAGGACAGGAAAACTGTACGTAGAGAAGTTGCAGAATATTTGCAGAATGCTGCCTATTATGGCAAAGTGCTCCATGAATTTACTGAGTCAGGAATGGTCCGTTTTCTCAGAGTTTTTCTTCCCCATCCTTGAAACCACATTTATGGCTTGTTTTTAGTTCATACTTTTTTTTTTTCTGCTCTTAGTTTTGTTTGCTTAGACGACTTTGACTTTCCCAAAGTGTTTTTGGACTTTTTACTTGCTTAGAAATTAGTTATTCTGAAAACTTTTTCATTTGCTGTACGGTATACTTGAACTTAAATTTAACACTGTGTTTTAACCCAATTTTGTACCACCTGGTGAGAGGAAGCGAGGTGTTTGAAGATTTGTACCATTGTTCAAAATGTACATTTTATTATTACTATTTTTTTGTTTGTTGTTTTGGAGAGGTTTTTGCTATAGGGCGTGTGTGCTCGCCAGAAAGACAGAGAGACAGAGAGACATCACCCCCCAGGAGGGATGGCCAAGCAGCTATCCCTTCTTCTCCGTTCTCCAATCGGGGTCTTGGGCATCCACGCACACTGCGTTGGTTTAAGCCACCGGGTCCGGGACTCGAACCGTGGTTGGCTTCATGGGAGTCCAGCAACATAGCCATTATGCTAACTGCTGGTCCTTCTTTTCTTTTCTTTTTTTTTTTTTTTGTTATAGTGCAGGTATGCCTGTGAGACAGAGTGAAAGGAAAGTGAGAACTGATGCTCCCCTGGGGATATGGCCAGGCCAGTTCCTTCTTCTCTTCTCTCTGGATTTTGGTGACGCTGTATAGGCACTTAGCGGTGATTTTCAAGCTGCCTGGTCTAAGGCTCCAACCGAGCTGTTGGCTCTGTAGGATCCAGCTGCCTTAACCTCCATGTCACCCATTGGCCCCCCACGTTTATTATTTTTTAAGGTTTATTTATTCCATGAGTGAGAGGCAGAGAGCCAGCACCCCTAACAGTTTTGACATCAGCATCTATCTCAGCTTCAGCCTGCCCTGGATTGTGGGTAATCCAGTGGCCAGAATACTCAGGGGAGTCTCTGTCCACAAACCTGAGACCTTCCCATTGTGGATCAGCCTCACAGAGCATGATACTTTACTGGTTCTCTACCCTCTGTCCCCTACACTTCTATTTTTGAAGCATAACCATAATTTAGATTAGTTTTGGAGGCTCTGTTTACTAATAATTTAGATTAATTCCCTAGTTGGTATGGGAATGGCATTATAAGTATCTCCCTAGATAACTATTTACTTGGTTACTAGGGAGGAAGAACAGGTGTAAATGCTTATTTTCATTAGACTTTTATTGATATTTTGACACTCAAAGTGGTTAGGCAGCATATTGAAATTTATCATAGTCTGATAAAAAAGCAATATGCAGAAAGTTGTAAAATACATTGTATTGTAGAATTTATTCTAGTTTGAAGTCAGGTCATTTAAGAAAGACATGAAAAATTAGGGAGCTAGGACACAGACATTGTTTTAGGAGGTGTATGAGGTCAAAACTTTTAATGTTCATACTGAGATGTTGTTTATCTTTTTTATTTTTTCTTTCATAATTGTTTAGAGGAGTTTTCTATAAACACATGATTTTTGATATGACAAGTGTAGAAGGAGATGTGTAAATTTAGCTGCTACTCTTTTCACTTGTTTTGAAAACTTTTTTCTTTTGGAGAGGTTTTTGCTATAGGGTACATGTGCCCGCCAGAAAGAGAGAGAGAGAGACAGAAAATGAGAAATCACCCCCCAGAGGGATGGCCACGATGCTATCCCTTCTCCTCTCAGGATCTTGGGCACGCACGCACACGTGCCCTGCGTGAGTTTAAGCTACCAGGTCTGGGACTCAAACACGGTCATCCGGTCAATTACATGGGAGTCCAGCCACATAGTCATTACGCCAACTGCTGGTCCTGAAAACTTTTTTTTTTTTTTTTTTT